ATGCCTGTCCCGCCACGACTTCCTTCCAGATCAAGCAGACATAACAAATGGCGCCCAACGGTTTTTTTTTATAACCCAATCATATCTTAGAATACTCTTTTTTCCATTACATCTTTCACTTTCAAGAGCGTTCCTGCCCTTTAAACTTTGTTTATCACTTGCAACTCTTTTTCATTTCCCTCGTTTCCTTCTACTTCGGACTGATTAGGTTTCCTAATACCAGCTTAGCTATGACTTAGGTCAACGTTATATGTGGTACAGGAATGGGGGGTACTACGGGTCTGGCATCAAGGGGTGCCTTGATGAACTCCTAACGAGTAGTTAGAGAGACTCCTGGTGATCAGATCGTGGTGATAATTTTAGTTTTGTTAGTTTGTTTTCGATCTTTTTAATTGCATTGGAAGACATGGCTGCTACCGGCAGTTGGGTTCAGCACCTGCCTGCTGTGAGGCCACCATGTACTTGCAAGGGGGTGTGGGGTAGTTTAAAGTAACCGGCAACGCTTCCAGGGAAGGGAGTTCAGGCCTTTTCTCTGCTGTAGCGAGCTGGAAAGAAGATGGGGGAAGTTAGCGACACAGACATTGGACCAGAATAATTGTACTTACGCTGCTCGTCATGGATACTCACGAAATCCGCCAGCCGGGGAGCACACCGTTTTCACTCCAGCCTCTCGTACCATATACATCCATACGCATATACACAGGAAACGAAGGTTTCGATAAATCCTAATAGTTTCCAATACTTTAGTTTATTCGAAGAATATTTTTTTTTGCAAGTACTGAGCTTTTTGATCGAATTGTAGGCACCAGGTGCATTGCAAATTTCAAATTACAGTAGAAAGTAGATCCTAACTATAAGTTTGGTGTGTTAGTGAGCTTTTATTGAGGTTGAAGAGACCTTTTGTTGTTATATTTACATAATTACTTATATATTTCATACTTTACGATACTATCTTTATTTTCATAAAGTACATTTATCCCTTTTAATAATTTATTGATAACTCATACATACCTACGATCATAAGATACATGTAAGTTTGAAAGATACATGTAAGGTGAAATAATAAGCAAATCTTTTAAACTTATATACATGCCATTTTTATACAAATTCCCGGTGCTGTTGAGAAATTGGAAGGCACAGTTTTATTTTTTTTACTTTTTTGCACATCTCAACCGTTTGAAAAACAAAAATTCTTTAGCTGTGTTAGGTTGTTGAATTAATTTTTGAGTAGTCTGTGGTGAATGGAGGATCCCAAGGACACTGAAGAGGTATCACGAGCGAGATTAGGCATTCTTCCAAGCAACAGACCAGTGACCCGTAGTTTGGCAAGGGAATTGGGAAATCAGGTGGTGGGTTCTCTCCTCACGCAGATAGATACAGGCATAGAATATCCAGTAGATTTTGTGCCTGTTGACTATTTGAACCGGTGCACTGCTAGGATCTTTGGACAACATCAAGCACAAGGAGTCGGTTCCCAAAGCACCAACGCAGTAAATAGCGCAGAAAGTTCCCTAAGCTTCTCCAGGAAATTAGATCGCGTCCTGGAAATGTCTGAGCCTTCAGAACAACCTGAGATGTTAGAGGAGGCGGTAGGAGGAGAAAGGCAAGAGTCCACAGAAGGTGCGGGGGCAGAACCTGTACAACAGTGTGACAGAATGGATAAGATGAGTCAAATGATGGCGGTGTTGATGCAACAAAATGCGGTCATGGCGGAGTGCATGAACGAAGTGCGGAAAATGCGGACGGACGTATCGCAATTAAGCAATCGGGTGGCAGATGTAGAAGCCTCAATGCATGCGCCACTAATACCACCACAAGCGGCGTCGACATCCACGCCGGACCTGCAGGTAAGAAACGAAAACGGAGGCATACGAGAGGATAGAGTTAGAGCAGGTCGCGAAAGCGCACGGTGCGGAGAAAGGAAAAAGGTAGACTTAGATAAATGGCACCTAAAGTTCGATGGTTCTAACAAAAACATGACGGTGGAAAGTTTTGTCTTCCGGTTAGAGCGTATGCGAGTACAGTACCAGCTATCTTTTGAGCAACTCCTAACTGATTTTCATTGTTTAGTCACAGGCCATGCACTTAAGTGGTATTGGCAAGTCTTAGAGGACCACGCTGATGATAATACTTTCGACTATTTTCAGCTAAAGGCGGAGCTGCTAGCCCAATATAAATCGGCAGAGTCTGATTATGAAGTTATCCGCGAGATAATGGAAAGAAAACAATATCCGCAAGAAAGTTTTGATGATTTCTATGCGGATGTTCATGATCTGACCTTCCGCCTAAGAAAGAAAATTCCCGAGGAGGAATTGGTAAAAATCATTAAGGGAAACCTTAAGCCCTACTTGGCCAACCTCACCTTCGCCACCAAAATGGAAACTTTGGCCGATTTAAAATACGAATGCAAACGAGCTGAGAAGCTAATCAAGGAAAATCGGTCCAGGGGTAAAGCGGTCAGTGAGCTAGGGAACTGCGATAGGGGCTGCTCTGATGAGTGGAGGACCGAAGGTGAAGCCGAAGTTAGTGCGCTAAATAGGGAAAATAGAGGCCAGTTGGGGGGCCACAAGAATACCTCGTATAACGCTACAAACCGTGATCTGTCCAAACACAATCCTACATCCTTCAACCCTACTCCTAATGTCAGTCATGTGTCTAATGTCAGTAAGGGTGTCAATAGTGAACCCAAACAAGTGTTTTGTCATTCCCCCTTCCATCTTATGCTATGCTTTGTTTGTGGAATGCCGGTGGATTATTACCTTAAGAACCCGGCTGAAGCAGCGAAGGACAGCGCTTGCACGTCTATGTTCCACATGATGAAGTGTTTCGCATGTGGAGGTGACTCGTCATTTTGCGTGTTCAAGTCAGGGGCGGGAAACAGGGCACTGGCAGAGATGTCCGGGAACTCTGTCCAGAACTCGAATCCCCCGGAACCATAAATAACAGTGAGAATAATAATGCAGGAGTTAGAATTCTAAAGCGCGAAAGCGACCAAGTAGATAAGAAAATGAATAAAAACAAGAGTGAAAGTAATAATATGAATGCAGGAGCTAGTCTACACTTGCGAAAAATAAGATACGAAGAAGCCAGAAGAAAAATATTTATGGAGGGGATTGAAGAGAAACGTAGGTCTAGGAATTATAAAAAAAATACAAAAAATGCGTGAAAAACAGAAAATGTTGAAAAGGATTCAAAGGAAAATAGTTGCTACTATCGTCACACTGAAAGGAGATAATAGGTTCTTCGCACAAGCCAATATAGGGGGGCATGAAGTCCTAGCATTACTCGATTCTGGGGCATGTGCTAGCTGCCTTGGAAAGGATGCGATGAAAATCCTAGAGGGAAGAGAGGTAGACATGTTGAAAATATCCGGCCAAAACATCCGCACCGCCAATGGAGAAGAAACGCCAGTAGTAGGGGTGATAACTCTACCGATAACTTGGAACGGCAGGGTCAAAGACTTGGAGTTTCTCGTTGTCCCCACTATAACGCAGAATGTATACCTAGGGGTTGATTTTTGGAGAGCATTTGACATGAGTGTGATAAGCAGAAGTGTGAATGACTCTGGTTATAAGAGGGTTGTATCAGAGCTCGTACCCGCCGGGGGTGACCCCACCTCTGAAGCGGTGCAACACATGCTGTCTGAAACACAAAACCAAAGATTAGAAAGGGTTAAGGCGCAATTCCCATCTTTTGCTGTATTGGGCTTGGGCCGCACCGATGTTGAAGAACATTCAATCGAGGTAGTTGATGAGAGCACCCCTGTCAAGCAGAGACACTACCCCATCTCACCGGCCATACAAAAGTTGGTGTTCGCAGAGTTAGACCGAATGCTGGAAATGGGGGTTATAGAGGAGAGCAACAGCAGCTGGAGCTCTCCTGTATCTCTTGTGATAAAGGGAACTAAGAACAGGCTGTGTTTAGACGCCAGAAAGGTGAACGAACGCACCATCAAAGATGCTTACCCACTACCGCACATCGATGGCATTCTTAGTCGTCTACAAAATACCCGCTTCATTTCAGCCATCGACCTAAAGGACGCTTTCTGGCAAATCCCCCTAGACCCTAAATCGAGGGAGAAGACGGCTTTCACTGTTCCTGGTAGACCCTTGTACCAATTCACTGTGATGCCCTTCGGTTTGTGTAATGCTGCCCAGCGTATGTGTCGTCTTATGGACAAAGTTATCCCAGCGGCTTTATGAGAATCTGTGTTTGTTTATCTTGACGACTTGTTAGTGTGTTCCGTAGATTTTGTTTCACATATGTCACTATTGGAAAAGGTCGCTAAGTGCTTGCGTGACGCCAAACTTACCATTAATGTAGAAAAAAGTAAGTTCTGCTACCGTGAGGTACGATACTTAGGTTATGTTGTAGGTGATGGATGTATCCGCACTGATGGGGATAAGATAGCAGCCGTTCGCGACTTCCCGCTACCAAAAAGCCCGAAACAGCTCAGGCGGTTCCTGGGGATGTCCGGCTGGTATAGGCGCTTCATTCAAAACTACGCTACCATAGCAGCACCCCTACATGAGTGTCTAACGAAGGAAAAAATAAGAAAATTCGAAATGACATGTGAGGCGATTAAGGCCTTTGCAACGCTTAAACAAAGTTTAATCTCAGCGCCAGTTCTGGTACACCCAGACTTCAAAAAGCGATTTTTTATACAATGTGACGCTTCGAATGACGGGGTAGGGGGGGTACTTTTCCAACTGGACACAGACGGTGAAGAAAGGCCTATTGCATACATGTCAGCTAAGTTAAATAAGGCCCAGCGGAACTATAGCGTGACAGAGTTGGAATGTTATGCGGCAGTACTAAGCGTGAAACGATTTCGTCCATACGTAGAAGGACTGCCTTTTACGGTCATCACCGACCACGCAAGCCTCAAATGGTTGATGCAACAAAAAGATCTGAGTGGACGACTAGCACGGTGGAGTCTTAAGTTACAGGCGTTTAATTTTGATATCCAGCATCGTAGGGGCGCACAGAACGTCGTTCCCGATACACTGTCGCGGATGGGCATCGAAGAGATCAAGCTATCTACAAGACTCCTAGATATAAGCCTAGACTCACCGTATTTCAGTTCGGACGAATACATGGGACTGAGAAACACCATCACCCAAAACGAAGACAGACTACCAGAACTGTGCGTCTCAGACGGCTATGTATATAAGCGTACGCATTTCAATCGTGGAGATGCTCTCCAAGAAGACCATGCCTGGAAGCTCTGGGTACCGTCTGAGCTGCGCCCGGGTTTGGTAGAAGCAGCCCACAGCTCACCATCAGCTGGACATGGGGGAATCCACAAAACCCTCGCCCGAATCCGCGAGTGATACTACTGGCCTGGGATGGTCAGCGACGTGCAAAGTGCAATCAAAGCATGTGAGATATGTAAAACGAGTAAGACGCAAAATGTTTTCAAAAGGCCAATGATGGGTCAGCAGCAAGTCACTGAGCGGCCTTTCCAACGTCTGTATGTCGACTTTATGGGACCGTATCCTCGTACCAAGGATGGAAATGTGTTTGTGTTTGTTTGTTTGGATCATTTTTCGAAGTTTGTGTTTTTAAAACCGATGCGGCAGGCGACAGCAGACAATGTTATAAAATTTTTAGAAAGGGAAGTGTTTCATGTCTTTGGGATCCCTGAATATTTACATTCTGATAACGGTAAGCAGTAAACAATTTTGGGACTTTATTAGAAAAGTATGGTGTGAGGCATATTAGAACAG